CAACAACAACAATACTGGATGGGTAAAGAGTGAGGGCATGGTCAATTTGATCAGAGATAACATCTAAGAGAGTGCAATCATGGGAAGAAGGAGAACGATAAAGAGCAAAGAGAAAGGTGATAGAGTGAAGAGGTGCTAGGCGAAAGCACATAAAAGAATGGTCAAAGGATTCTAACCTGATTTCACGACAAATAGGGAAATTAATGCGTATGTATACCCTAAACCTACCACGTGAATCTTTGAGTCTTTACGAATCAAAGGATAGTACTCATCAACACTGACATCTGAAGAAGGAATTGCAGAATTTAAGTTTGTTTCACTGGGTGCAAGCAAGTCTGGTGAATTTTGCAGGAGGTAAGACTCAACTGATGGAAACTTGCTTCGTAAACCGCGAATATTTGTAAAAGATATATTAAAATATTTAGGTGGTGGGGATGGTTTTTTAGGTTTTAAACTTTTGGTTACTTTGGTCATGATTTGGGTTTAATGAGAACTTGACTCATTCATAGATAGAGCACAGCCTTCTAATCAATGAGCTATGCAGTTGTCTCAGTCCTGTTAATTAATTCTAAGCCGTGACATAGGGCTCCTTATGTGGCCTTGACAATGCACACCAAAAGCATTAACAGGGACACCATCCATGCGCAACATGGCACTGTTAATACTCTGAATTTTTCAGCTGTTGATGGAATCAGCCTCTCTGAGAGCTACCACAGAGTTCGGGAAACCTTACTACCAGCCGGCCTAAGAACCATTAAACTGAGTTTAAGAGCTGTACCCTCATATGGAGATAACAGGAAGAGTTGCATAGCCATTATCAAGGAGGCATAAACAAAATTCTATGAGTAGAGTCAAGGAGATCATCCTAGGCAGGAAACAATGTAATACAGGTTACATCTACGCCAGCCTAATAGATGAAGAAGGGGTTCGAGGCTGGTTTGCAGAATTTTTCTGCTTACCCCTAAAGTCTTTGCCTAGGAGGCCTTCTACAAGATAGTTGCTCGATGCAGTTAACATCTGCCCAAAATGAGTATTTTTATCGAGACACCATCTCTAGCCTATACTCAACCAAGAACCCCAAGCCAGGGGATGTTTAGCTGGATGTAGTTAACATCTGCCCAAGATGAAAGTTTTCATCGAGACACCATCTCTAGCCTTTACTCAACCAAGAGCCCCAAGGCAGGGGAATTTTTTAGTCGGAGTTTATTTCTCCTAGCCATTGCCTAAGAAGAGGCCTAAGAAGAAGAGCCTAAGAAGAAGAGCCTTTTGCCTAAGAAGCCTTTGCCTAATAAGTTACATAGCTCAAGGCCATATACACGCTTTGACATTGTCAAAGTATTGTATAAATGACCCAGCCAACATTGACATACGGGTAACGTACGGGGCCCATACGGGTCGTCTACTGGGTCCCGTATGGGAAGACCAACGGTATCCCGCCGGATCATGAGCGCGGTTTCCATATGGGACCCATATGGGTTAGCCCGCCGGGTATCCCGTATGGGTACCAGTCAAATCCCGTACTTTAAAACCGTAAGGGACCCATTTGGGTTTGCAAATGGGACCCATATGGGAAAACCATCGGGAACCCGCCGGATCATGGCCGCGGTTTTCTTCTGGGGCCTATATGGGTATGCCCGCCGGGTATCCCGTGAGGGTCCCACGAGGTTTACCCATTGCAAATCTTGCAAAACAACATTTAAATGTTTAAAATTTACAGAAAAAGCAAATTTATATATAAACTGATTGGTTTATTTCAACTAAAACAATTAAAATTACACTTGTCAATAAAAAAACTTTTGAACGATTTTTTATCGTGTACCTCACGTGCTTCAACGGTCAGGGTTTCTCGCGAATTAGAAGGTTTTCCATCGTTGTTAAACTGACTTCGTTAAAAACCTCTTTCTTGACACAATATCTCGTTTCTATATTAGCTATAAAAGAAATTAATTTAACTGTTAAATCTGTTATTTATAATAATGTTAGTTTAAAAATACAGCAATAATAAATTAGCAGAAAATCACAAATCAACTTTTTTAATTTTACACTGAGTTTTGTGTGTATATATATATATATATATATATATATATATATATATATATATATATATATATATATATATATATATATATATATATATATAATATATTTAAAACATATTTTACCTTAAATGCCAAACAAAAATGATCCAATGCAAAAATTAAAAAATTTTCATCAATCATTTTTTCTTAATTATTAAATTGTACAATTGTTGTCATTATTAAGATTATAAGCTATTCTACTACACAATATCAAAAAAATAATAATATCAACAACTTAAAAATGCTGTTGTCGCATAAGAATAAAGCCATTTTTAAAAGGCATTTGCAAATACTTTATATTAATATCTGACAGTGGATAAACTTTATGAACACCAGTCATTTTGCAGGCATAGAATACAGACAAATCAGTGGAAGAAAGTGGATCTGTAAAAAACGACTCAAAACCTGCAAATTTCTCAAACATTACCCATCCATCACAAGATTCGTCTGATATCCCTCTTAAAATATTTCTAACTAAACCGATTTTTTTGGCAATTTCAAAACAATTATCACCTTCATTTGCTGAAACAAATCACTGTAAACTTTGATAATTTTTAAATTGTAAACAGTGCCTTAATGCAATGGTTACTGGCCCATCAAAATGAGGAATACTAAACTTTTGTTTATCTGTTCGTATGTGTTTATTTAAGCAACCCTCAAAAACTTGTCTAACAATTTGTGAGCATGGCTGCTGCGGTCTTCGAACAAGTTTTTTTAATTTACCTAAAAAATTTTCATATTTAAACGAGGAACATCTATCAAGTACTCCAAATTTAACTGCATCATCTGCTATATGTATTAAAGAATGGACATTGTACACTACTTGATCTTTACCATACAGTTCACCAAATGTCTGCACAAAATAAATTAGTAACTAACGTGCAAAATCAACATAATTTTTTAACAATGTAGGACATAATAAAATTCGAACTGCAAATGAAAGATCTAAAAAATTTGAATAGATTTTGGGCTCAACCAACCTCTTTAAAACAACTGGCCCAGTGTATATAAGAAAAAGTCTAAGTTCAGTTGCTTTCCATTGCTTGATATCTAATAAAGACCTTGGTTTTCGGGAAAACTCTCTTGGAATGTAATAGCGTATCTGGAACAATCGGTTAGATAAAGTATTGACAGTACTCTGAGACAATTTACAACATCTTGGGCCACTAAACCATAAGTTGATAAGTCTTCGCATTACCCCTAAGCATACTAGATGCATATAGTCTGGAGGAAACTTCGTCACCATGTCAAAATTTAATTCAATTAAAGGTGACATACCACTATGATGTTCAGGATGCTTTTGATCACAAAAATCCAAATCAGTCCTTAATATTGATGAAACATGTGGGAGTATAACCTTGCCACACCATTCTCCTTTCTGAACGCAACGCTCGCAACAGTTATAACCATTGTGTCCCTTAATACATTTAACAAACGCTTTAGCTGGGGCATCACATATAATAGCTGCTAGATTGATTTCGTACCTAACATTTTCATAGACAAAACCATCTTTTGCAAGAGCTTTGAACTCTACAACAAAATCATCTAGATAATCATAAATGGAATAAGGTTTATGGGCACTACTATAAACTGCTATTGAAAAAATACTAGACCCGGCTTCAATAACAGAACCTAAAATTGGCCAAAGAGAAATACTTGAACTGTTAAATATAGGTATACCATCAATATTAACATGAATATTAAGTTGTTTGTTGCTTGACGCAATGGAATTGTTTTTAAATATCAATAAAAGCCAATACTGCAAGCTAAAATAGTAATATTCTCCACCAGCCACATTTCTTATATCTATATTTTTTTGAGTACAAAGTAGTGTTCTTGAATCTTTTGGCAAACTTAACCCGGAATCTTGTAATATAGGTAACAAACTATTTAAAGCGGCATGTGATATATTGAAATTTAGAGCCCAACTTGCAAGTTTATGAGGTAAGTTTTCGTTGTCCTTATCTTCATCACTGTTGTCATCATCAGAAATAAATAATCGTGGATACCATTCATAACTATCATCACTAAGTGAGACAATATTTTGTTTGATTAATTCAAAATTACTAATTTCAGTCTCCATAACAGCTACGCTATCATCACAATATTTAGAGTTGCTTAAATATTTATTAGATTCCAAATTACTACCGCTTTTATTTTTTATTTCATAAAAACTAGAAAAATCATTAAACATATTGCTGGTACATGGATTACCAGGGTGATTGAGTAAATCTAAAGTTGCAGATTCCTGAAAAATGTTTGATACCACTTCAGATAATTTTCTACGCTTAGATCTTTCTGAAGTCATTCTAGTAAATTAAATAAAGTAGTTATCAATTCTTATCTAACTTCTCACACAAAAACTATAAACTAACCTGATTAATAAACACAGCACAAATATACAAAGAATGTTTTTTAAGTTTAGACTATTTTTTATACTTAAATAAAAAATTCAAGACAATAAGAAATACAAAATAATAGAAATGCAAATAAAATTATAACAATAAATTAAAAAAAGAAAGTAACTTTATTTAACATATATATATATATATATATATATATATATATATATATATATATATATATATATATATATATATATATATATATATATATATAATATATATATATATATATATATATATATATATATATATATAAATATGTATATATATATATATACATATATTTATATAAATTCATACATATATATATATATATATATATATATATATATATATATATATATATATATATATATATATATATATCTTAACAAAAATTAAATTTTTTATATACTTTTTTTTTTATACTGTTACATTTTTATGCAATCTATAAATAAATATTAAACTGGAACATAACATAATAGTTCACTAACATTTAAATTGGAATAATAAAACAATATTTTACTAACTTTTCTCAAAAGATTTGCCTTGAATATCACAACAAGAATGACTAATTAATAAAAACTATTATTATTTTTGTTGAAACTATTAACATTTCATAACATTTTAAGTTTTATTTGTAATTTATTTTCTACTAGAAACAATAACATAAACATCTATTTTTTCAGTAACAAAAACATAAACATCTTTTAAATTAAAATCGTCATGATTTTACATAATTATCATGTAACTTTACATACCTTTTCTGCTTTCTCAGATACATTTCATCAACATTTGAGGTATCTTCTGCATATCTACATTTTTCTTTCGCTTCGGATTCTGTGTCTAAATATTGAAAAAAATTTTGATAGTTTTGAAAATAACATTTTGATTTATCAAATTTTATTTTCAAATTTCAATAATAATATATTTTTTAATAATGCTTTAATAAATTTTTAAAAATTGCAAAGAATAATTATTTTACTATATTTGAAAATATTATAAAAAGTACCTGCGGTTGACAAAATTCTTCCTGAAAATATTAGCCACCCAACCTCGGGTTCTTGACATATTGATTTTGCATAGTCAATTTTTCATATTAGTCCAGCGAGGCCAATAAAAATCTGTTGATTTTCTAGAGGAAATTATTAATAAAACATTTTCACTCATAGCATTGACTAGCCAAACTAGTGGTAGGTAATCTGTATTATTTTCTTCATCAAAAGCAACAACTGCATACAACATCTTACTGTGTAATATATTACAAATAAAAGTAGACAAATGCCATAATCCATTATCTCCTTTATATAGGAATAAAATTTTATTGAAATGCACTTCTGGTTTTTAAGAACAAAATACAGTGGTCTTCAAAGAACATTCATGATTCTAAGAACTTATACCACAAGGAAGTAAAACATTATTGAAAACCCACACTTCAACATTAACATATTTTGTGTATTTCCTTGTGGCTTACCTTTTCATAAAGAAAATGTTATTGAATTCGATTCTTTAAAGTAATTATTTTTGCGATTCCATGTTAAACTTTGTAAAATTTTTTACTTTTTGTAAGGAAGGGAAAACAAAAAAATCTATATACACAAAATAAAAAAAGTAATAACAACATTTTAATAGAGTTATATATAAAAAAAATTTGAGAAAACGATATTTTTTTAATTATAATTTTAATTTATACGTTATATATATAACACTCCACTCTCGCAAAGTATAAGTTACAAATGGCGATATTGGACATTTTGCATAGATTCGTCCGCAAATAGTTTTCACCAAATGGGCCCCGAATGGGAAAACCGTCAAAACCCCACATTCCTTAGCCCATATATTTACCAGCTGCGGCCCATATTGTATTTTTTGCTTGATTTTTTAACCATACGGGATCCGTCAGGAAACCAGATTACAATCCCTTCTAAATCCCGTTCCCGTAAGCCTAGTTAAAAACCATACGGTACCCGTCTGACAATGTTGGCTGTGGAACTATTGCTGACGGCTGACAAAAACAAATTCCACTGTCAATTAGAGCTATTGCAACCAATTGAAACTGCGATATACGCTCATTTAGATTTGTTTTTTGAAGTATTGCAATTTTGTTTTTGTTAGTACCATTATCCCATTGGAAACCAATATGTTTTAATTTATTTTGAATATGTATATAAGTTCCGTTAATTTGAATAATGTTGTTGAAAATTGAACTTTTACCAGAGATCAGAAATTCCGTTTTCTCAGTGTTTAGCTTGATAAAGTTTGATATTCCATAAGCTTGAAACCTATCGATCAGTTTTTGCAGATCAGAGATTGTTAGACTTAGCAAAATTACATTATCTGCGTTTGCAATGACACCAGTATAAATGTCATTTATTGTTGACCCTACTTTACATTCTGAGACCATTTCATTTGAGATATTTTTAGTATAGATGCTACATAAATGTGGCGATAAAATTGATCCTTGTTGCACTCCTTGTGACAAACTGAATTTATCTGAGGTAACTCCCTGATAGGATATATTTACAGTACCAGAACAATATAGCGATGTGATTGCGTATACCACAGATAAAGGAAGTTTTTTTTGGAAACAGAGCTTCTCAAATAGCAAATCCCAGTTGCAAGTATCAAACGCTTTATTTGCATCTAGACTACAAACAAATATATATATAAAGGCGTGTTATTGTTATTAAAAGGTTTAATGGTTTCGTTCAATAAAAATTCTGCGTGGAGCGCAGAGCTATTTTTTTTAAAACCAAACTGATGGGAATGGCTAATACTAGGACATACTAGTTAATACTAGGATATAAAAGTAAAATTAGATATTCTAAAAGTTTGGCAAAGATAGGTGAAACACTAATTTCATGGTAATTATCTGGATTATTAAGAAATTTTTTTTATATGACTTAACAAGTGGAATACTTGTTGAAGTTGATAAATTTTTGGTATCTTTCCATTCTTTAGAATACTGTTATAAAATTTAGAGCCACAAAAAAGATTTTTATTATTACAGTTTTTAAGGTGTTCAGCAGTTACCCTGGAGACTTGTTATTATTTAGTTGTGATATGCATAATATGTTTATAATATCAGCTGATGTAATAATTAGTGAATTAGGCTCATTACTTAGAGGCGGGATTTTAAAAGGATTGTGGTCCAAAAACTTATGAGGATTTTTAGTTCGTATATTTTCAATAGTATTTTCCAATGATATATTAAAATTATTAGTTTTAATTATTTTATTTAATTTTTTAATTTATTGATTAAAAAAAAAAAATTTAATTAATTTTATTTATATTATTTAAAAATGAAATTATTAATGATATATTAGATTATTAATATATTAAAATTATTCTTAATATATCATTGGTATTTTCAAAGATTTTGTTTCAAAACCGGCAAAATTAATATCCCGATTATTTTATAATCGGGATACTAATTAGTATCATTATTTTCGCAAACCCCGGAAAACCTCTGAAAACCGTATGCTCATTCTAACATTTAATCTTTCATATAATAAGTATATTCTAATATTTAATTTTATATAGATTAAGTAACAATTCTTGTATTTTTATGCAAATCAGTCACAAAAAATAAATGTTTAAAAAGACCGCTATTTTTAAAGCAAAATCCAAGCAAAAGAACCAATGGTAGTCTTTTCTTAAAATAAAAACTTTTATTTTAGATATATTAATAAAAACTTTTATTTTAGAAAGAGTCTAAATTTTAGAAAGATTATTTTAGAAAGAGTCTAAATTTATTAGCACTATTAAAGAATAAGTTAATTTTAATTTTAAAAGTTAAAAAAGTCAATTTTTTTTTATTAATTGATCTACAGATTAAACACATATTCTAGCACTTAGTAAAAGGTTTAGTTGTGTTTTTGATTTATATCGTGTTACATAAAGTAAGTATAATAATATTATACTTACTTATATCATAAATATATGTATGATGCTTACACTCAATAAGGAATACATTGTTTTTTTTTTTAGCATATTAATTAATATGAGGGAATCTCAATTCATGTAATTCTATACCAAGAATACAGCATTACAAAAAAAATGAGTTCAAAACGACCAGAGCACTTAGCACCACCTGAAGCAGTAAGTTAGGTTTTGATTAATTCATTTTTTTATTATTGGTCTAATAAAAAAATTTGTTTTAATGCCCAGACTTGTTACTATCTATAGTATTTTGATATCTATAGTATTTTTTACATGGCAAGAATTATTATTATTTATTGTTTTTAATTAATCATGTCATCTAAAAAAATAACTATGTTATTTCTGTTTAGTTTTACAATGAAATAGAAGCCAAAAAGTATACTTCTAAGTAAGTATATTTATAAGTTTTAACATATACAGCTGTTTGTTTAATCTTTAAGTGTAGTTTTGTAAAATGTGGAGCTAATCTGACTAATATCCTCCTTTTTACGTGGGAGAGCACAGTGCTAAACCTAATCAAAATTTAGATTTGTATGCTTTTCTCCTTCAAAAATAGAAAGACTTTAATTAATTTAGTATAGCTATTGATTTTTGTTTGTTCTTTTAAAAAAAAACATTGATTTCAAATTTTCATATTTATGGCTATGATTATATTATATAACTTATATTTATGATTTTTTAAATCAAAGTTATAGCGTGAAGTTTTGTTATATTTAGTACTCGTATGATAGACTTTCAAAATCAAATGACCAAACGAGCTTTAGAACTACTTAATTTACCTGCTGATGAGCCAAGTTTTTTACTTGATGTTGGGTATGTTTTTATTTTTTATTTTTAGCAAATGGAACATGTTTCCACCTGTTTGCAGATCTGACTAAGTATTTTTATTATCTTGCTACAACTAGATTAATTACTTTCTAGGTCTTAAAACTTTTTATCCATTACTAAATCTACTCATATCCATAACCAAATTCATGGTTTTCTTTCCCTTAGGTAAGTTGCCACCCCAGGCCTTGTTACGAGATTTCGCTGCGTAACGGAAAAGCGAAACGTGAATAAATGTAACTTTACTCATATTTACGTTGTTTTACTTTACGATATTTACGTTGTTAAAAGTTAAACTATGTCAGTTGCGTTTTTACTTCATTGTAATTAAATTTAAAATGACATTAAAAACTATTGTTAGTCTGTGAAACGAAATAGCTTTAAATTGAACAAAATTGTTATAAAAAAAAAACTAAAGTTTTAATGTTGATTAAAAAAAAGTTTTCTTGTATTCAAATATTATACTTATTTAAACTTAATTTTTTTGCTATCAAACATTCGTTTTATGGTTGTTTTTTTTTTTAATATTTTTTTTTAATAATTTAAGTTTAACACTTGTGATGTGCCGGGTACCCGGTTCGGACCCGGGGACCCGGCAATTCGGCTGTTTTACCGGGTACCCGGTATCGGCCATTTTGTTGCAGTAACCGGTACCGGGTATCTTCAAATTGATTTTTCCTTAATTTTAAACTTTAACCATTAAACTTCTTGATATAAGTCTAAAAATGTTATGTAGTCGATAACCACAAAGTTCTATTAACTTAAAACAATCTCACTTAAAATATTTTTTAATACATTTTTGCAAAAAAATTTATACGGATACAAAAACTGTAACGTTAAGTGAAATAATTCGAGAATACGAATAAAAAGAATGGGAAAAAAAGTTTTAGAATAGCTTCTTTTTATTCTGTTAGAACACACGATAGTTTTTAGCAATTAAGTTTTGAATGAAACGCTTATAATGCTTTCGAACGCTGATATCACTTTTCATTCGTATCGAGCAAAAATCATAAAAGTAGAGATATAAGGTAAAAATTATACACATTTTTTATAATTTAATTTCGATAATAATTATAACAAAATATTATTTAGGCCCGCTCCACCAGGAAAGAAAAATAATTTTAAACTAAATATAGTTATTAAAAAACTGTTGCACAACTTTTGAAAAAAGTTAGGCCCTACAACTCAGGCCCCTTACCCTGTATTGCGGGGCTTTGCTAAATGGTACTTCCGCCACATAACTTTTGGTTAGTTAGCGTAAAAAGCGTACTTTGTGTGAATATTTCAGCGCTAGAGATTTCACAAGATTTTATTCCAAATTTTTTAAAAATGGACTCGGTGCCGAGTACCCGGACTCGGACCCAGTTTTTTCAGCCGGGTACTCGGAATCGGAGACTCGGCATAAACTGGTTCCGGCACATCTCTAGTTTATGGCTGATTTTTTTAAAGGAATTTAAATGTACTTACAACTAAACGCATAGATTGGGTTTTCCCCTTTTTAAAAAAACGTTTGCACTAACTGGTTTTGAAAAAAATAAATATTGTAAAGAAACAAAATTTACTGCTTTTCGGCTTTGTTTTTTTTTTTATTTCCATTAAAATATTTTATTTTTATGTACAGTGAAACCTAATGTTTTTTTACTATTTTTTTACTCAATCCAAAAAAAAATAAATAGTGTTTTCGGTTTTAAAATGTTATAAGCAGAATTTGTTTTTAACAAATATCATTATAATTTTGAAATTTATTTATCTTATATTTATAGCTCTAGTACTAGTTTTGTTTTTAAAATAAAATAAATATAAGTTTGGCTTTTAAAGAGTTAATTTACTGATCGCGTTATTTTTAATAAATTTGAATTTTGGTTTGTTTTATAAAAAAAATTCTTTGGCGAAAGGTTAAGGGAAAACCCAAACATAACATTTATAACTCGAGTTTAGAAGAACTTTTTTGTTTTGATGTTATTTATTAACTTGTAGTTATAAAATGAATAATGCGCTTCTGTAAATAATGAATGAAACTGTAAAATAATGGAAAAATAAAAACTGGAAAATAATGTGCCTTTGTTCAGCGCATTATTCAGACCAGTATTTGGAACTGAAACTTACCTGAAACTTAACTGAACTTAAAATAAAGTTATATGTAATACGAACATTTTAAAGTAACTTGAATTAAATTTATTAAATCTTTTTTTACTTTGGAAATTTTATCATAAAAACAAATTTTGTCATAAAAAAAACAAAAAACGGAGCATTTTAAAATTAAAAAATTTTAAAATGTTTTTTTTTAAAATTAAATAAAAGAATTTTAATTAAATTTAATAAATTTATGTACTAAAAACTATAATTAATAAAAAAATATTTAACTTTAATAAAATAAATTGAAGTTTTTTTTTTTTTTTTTTTTATTTGAATATTTTTAAACTTATGAAATATAAAACTTAATATTAAATATGATAAAAAGTTTAAACTTAAAACAATTATTTTTTTTTAAACTAACTTTTAACAACAACAACAATAAAAATAATTATAAAAATTTTTCTTTAACAAAAAATCTATTAGTTTACAATTGTGGTTAATTGCTTTTACTTACAACTTTATTTTTCTCCGAATAAACGTCACATAAATGATATCGAATGATAATTTAAATATTCTGAAAGATTAAAGATTTTGCGTAACGCAAAACTGCTGAACGCGTAGGCAAATCGCCTTTTCGCAGGTAAAATGCGAGCTGCGTAACTATTCTTAACAAGGCCTGCCACCCCAAGGCTAAGGAGTTTAAGACTGTCAAATTATGCTATTTTTAACTAAATAAAAATATTTTATTTAATGATAAACCATGCAACAACAACAAAATAACAAAAAAATAAAATTCCGATTTTCTCATTCTATGGCTGATTTGCTAACTGAACAATTTTATTGTGCATTAGATTTAGGCGGCAAACCTTATTGCTCTTGATATATCTAAAACTTTCATTAAAGTTTTGCATGCTGGTATTCTTCATAAGCTTGCCTAGTTACGGTGTGTCTGTTGAAGTTGTTAAAGTATGGTTTGTCTGTTAAAGTACGGTGTTTTGTTAAAGTACAATGTGTCTGTTAAAGTTTTGTTTAAGTACGGTGTGTCTGTTAAAGTAGATTATCAAAATTTTTTTTCTAACCGCTTTGTTAAAGTCATCCTCAAAGGTCAACTCACTTATTCAGGGTTTGTACTGTACCTGGAAATCCTGGTAAACCTGAAAAATTCTTTAATTTTGGCTTTTTCATTGGATAATCTGGGAAAAGTCAGGTAATTTTATAGAAAAGTTACTCGTTTTAAAATTAAGCTAATATGTATTTGTTGGTGCTACTCATTGATTTATTTTGACTTTAATAAATTATTTTTGACATTAAATTATTTTTAAATCAAAAAATACCCCACAGTGTTTTATAGGATTGCAATGTGATCGCATGCCATCATATGACCACACTTTTTAATTTTTTTTCAATTGTAGTAAAATTGCATTGAAAAACAAAGCAAAAACTTAAGAAAAAATGGCAGCAAACTTAAATAAAAAAAAAAGAAAAAAAATCTTAACAAAAGAGAAAACCAAATAAAAAATTAACATAAGAAAATAAAACTCTTAATTACATTTTAACTTTTAATTAAATTACCTTTGGAATAAGCAACTTTGAAACTTTGATATTTTCAAATGTATTAATACTATGTAAAATGGTTTTGAATCAAGTAACAGATTACTTTGTATATTACTATTGATTATTTTTATAAACACATTTTGTTTATATTACCTATGGTTGTTATTTTATTATTAAAAAAGTAATAAATGTTTCTTTTTTTTTTTTAATTTATAAAAAAAAAATATTCTTTCTATATTTATTTTTTTCATGATCAATTTAAATCGTGTAAAAATATTTCTATAATTTATTTATAAACAATGACGAATATAAATATGATACCTGCTACCTTTTTACACCATATTTATTTTACACCAAAATTAATCTGCAAAATAAAGAGAACCATTTGAAACCCAATGAAATTGATATTGGATTTGCTGCTGAATTATCACTTTCAAAGCTTAGAAAGAATAATGCAGTTATTTTGAAGGATATGCACATAATTTTTTGATTTCTTGAAGATCATCTGAAACTTATGTTTTTCTGAAGCCTAAATTTTTCTTAGTGTTCATGACTGTGGAGTCATCCTTAATAGTAGGATCCTTACTAACATCAGGCTGTCAAGTTGTTATTTTTTTCAATTTTTTCTGGTTCTTTTTTATTAATTTATTTTTTTTTATTTTTTTTGGGAGTTTTTGTCATTTTTTCATTTTTTTCAATTAAATTTTTTTTAATATTTTGATTGAGTTATGGTATACCTGCTGTAAGTTTCTTTTTTGTTATTTGAGTAATAATGCGTATTATGATAATTTAAATAAATTTTACAATAAATATTCTTTTACAATCTTTTTTTTCAAGTTTTATTTAGATATTGCAATTTTACAAACACATTGCAATTTATAAATAAATTTTACAAACACATTGCAATTTATATTTTTGCTATCCTCTTAAAAAAAAAAAGTTAAGAAAAGGAAAATCATTCTTTTTATTGTAGACTTCAAACTGTTTTTTTTGCTTTGCCTTATCTAATTTTGTTGCTGAATGTAACAACTACTTTAAAAAAACAAAAATAAAAACAGTATAAAATTTTTTAAATTATTAATTTGTTTTTATTTTTTTCTCTTCAGTCTCTTTGTATTTTGTTAGTTTTGTTTTTTTTTTGTTTTTGAAACTTTTTCAGCATTGATTATTATAAAACTTGCCTCAGCCGTGTTCAAGTTGTCTGAAATAAAATACTTTCGTGTGGTCATACAAGACGATATATATATATATATATATATATATATATATATATATATATATATATATATATATATATATATATATATAATATATATATATATATATATATAATATATATATCTAATATATATCCCTAA